ATAAACGCAGTCCGCAAACACATTTCTGGCTTTTGTTTGCTTTGCACTTAAATAATTTAATTGCTTATAAAACAAATAAATGGAGGACCGAACTGGTTCGCAGTTTGTAAACCATTTGTACAAATCCATGGAATCTCTCTTCTTGGTTTTTTATCGGGAATTTTTTCGTCTTCGTCTTCGTCTTCGTCTTCGTTTCGTTTCGTCTTGTTTTGTTCTCTGCCGCTCTGCCGCTCTGTGCTTTCATTTGAGGGCAGATTCGATTGATAGATGGACTGATTGACAGGCCAACACTCGTAGCTGTCAAATTTGAAGCAACTCAAACCGAAAGCGGAAACGTAATAGAATCATTAAGAGAGTCTAAGAGAGAGAGAAGTCAATACCCCAACACCAAACAGAGTCGAGTCACAGTCACCATTCCAAAGAGTCTCCAAAGAGACACAGAAACAGATGCATTATGTACATACACACATATGAATGCATCTTTCTTTTCATTGAATTTTATGATATCCCATGTTGAGCTTTAACATTTGCGCTAATTATTTTGCAGCAATTAATTAAGGCGCAACATAAAAATAACATTAAACAAGATCCAACCCACAAAAAGGCCACATAAATAAATATATATCTTATAGATACATTCATATAAAGTATCCTGTGTGTGTGTGTGTGTGTGTGTGTGTGTGTGTTTGTATATAAATAAATAAAAACAGTTTCGGCCTGACTGGCCTGCTCTATATACGATATGTACATATATCCACTGATCTCCGCTGATCTTTTAACTCAATTAAAAGCGCGTACGAGCGCCAAAATTTTCAAAGGCACTCTGTCTCCCTGTCTCTTTCCATAGCCACTCTACCCATCTCTTTCTGCTACTGCTTCTACTGCTGCTGCTGTGCGAAAGGCTACAAAAAATAGCCGACAATTCGACGCCGTCGCTGCTGGCTTTTGGGTCTGGTTCTGCGTCATGTGAGTCACTGCAGCAACAACAGCACAATAGGGCAGCAGCAGCGGCAGCAACGCATTTGGCAACAATCACAATTGCCAGGCGAAAATATCTGTGGTACGTTTTCCTTTTGGCCACTGCCACAGCCACAGGCTGGTGGCAGCAGCACCACCACCACCACTGATGACACATGTAGTACGAGATGCTCGTACGAGTATCTGTATCTGTATCTGCCCGTCTTCTGTCTTCTGTCTTCTGTCTTTTGTCCCACGTGTGTGGGGCTGTTCTTTTGACTGTAATTAGCACATTGTACAGCACAAAAAAGAGATATATTTTGTTGTCTTTATGCAGGGGCATACACTGCTGGGCAATGCTGTTTTGCTGCACACCCCACCAAATGGTCAATGGTCCACATTGATGGAAAGGCTAAAGTCTCAGATTAACGAGACCACCTAGGAGACAACTCTCCTGTCAGCACTGTGCTTTGCATTTGGGTGTTCTCTATTCTGTTTGTATTTTTTGTTTGCACCGAATGATGTCATCTTTGAAAACTTTCGTCGCCTGCCAAAACTGCATATGAGGGGTGCAGCAGGGGACAACCGAGGGGGAGGAGCGGTAGCAATATTATTTTTAACATTTGTTTGCTAATGATTCGTAGGCTGCAAATGTTTGCCCAGACACTTTCAAGTTGCGGTGGCTGCTCTGCCTGCAGTCCATAAATTGTTGCAATTTTTGCTACACTCTCAGACACACACACCCTCTCTCTCTCTCTCTCTCTCGCTATCTCGCTATCTCGCTCTTACTACCCCCACTATTAGTCTCTCTCCTTTTTGCGTATTTTTGAGTCCAATGCACTGCCAACAAAAGCAGCAACAACAACAGAAAAATATACAATTTATTTCTAGACATTTCGTCTTAAATTAAACTTAAAAATAAATCCAAATGCATGTGCAGTTTCCACATCCACATATGCATTTGCTGCCCCATGTGTGTGTGTGTTGGGTGTGGAATGCATTTGTGTGTGGCACGCTGTCCGCCCACGCTGCTCATCCTCCTACCCTGCCGCATCTTCCTCGGCCACATCCAGGCCTTGTGGCACATCAAAATGTGTGTAATTTATTTACAGGCATATTTCGCATTTCATTTCGTTGTTTCGTTTGGTCGTTCGTTCGGTTGCACGTTCGGGTCTTGTCAATGAATGGAAATGGGAATGGGAATGGGAATGGGAATGCTGCGAATCGGCAACAAAACGGCAACGGCCAACGGCCAACGGCCAACGGTCATAAATCACAAATGGCCTGGAACGACAGGCAGCAACAACAAGTACCAACAATACTACAAACCGTCAAAAATGTTGCTCTATTAAGTGCACAAACAAACAACAATTGAACCATTTTTCCAACAAGTCAGCAAAAACAGAAACAGAATTTTCCGGATTCTGTGAGTATTTTGGGGTGTTGTTTTTGTTTTTTTTGGAAATACATCAAATGTCTAGGCAAATTTTAGAAATGAAAACAGGAAGTGGACTCCCAAGAAATGCCCAGAAGGAAGGATCAAGCGTTACATGTTTAGTTTCCATTTCAAAATAAATATTTATCCACTAAGTAGTAATCGTTTTCTTGTGCAATCGATATTTAAATTCACTGTATTGTGCGTGGGAACAGATCAGATCTACCTTTTTGCCTGGCACAAATTCCACTTGTTGGAAAATTCTCTTTGGAGTGCGCCGATTCGACCAGATCCGATCCGATCCGATCCGGCGCAGTCCGTTTATTATATGCGATCCGTATGCTGCAGATCTGCGGGTCTCTTGAATTGCGATTAACGGACATTGCCGGGTGATTACTGCCTCCCACTGGAGCTGCTGCTTCTTGAGGTTCGCTGAGCACACAGACAGACAAATACTATATGCTTTTTGAGTGTCTGTTTTTGTTTTACTTATAAATCTATTGCGCGGGGATTATTCTCTCATTGTTTTGCTGCTGCTGCTGCTGTTGTTTTTGTAGTCGTATTTAAATTGTTTCGCACGCAAATAAAACTGGCGCCAATGACAAGAGCAGCAACAAAAACAGCTACAACAAAATTGATAAACGTCGCGCGTCGTTAGCGCCACTTATCACGTATACGCCATGGCACCCCAGCCACAGCCACAGCCCCAGCCCCAGCCCCAGCCGCAGCAGCGGTGTCCGTCAGTGATTCTGCTGCTGCTTCTGCTGCTGCTGCTGCCGCCGGGTGGGTGGTTCGATTGCACAAATAACTGGTTCATCATCATCATCATCATCATCACGTGTATTTAGTTAATTAGTTTATTGTCAGCCTAGCCCATCCCTGCCCTGCCCTTCCACTCCACTCCACTCCACTCTTTCACTAGTTCCCTCTTCTTTTTGGCGAACACGTGTGAAAAATAGGAAACAGATATGAAATTGTGAATGATGTGGAGTAATGGTCGCAGTTGATAAGCGGCTACCGTGGTGAGGGGGAGAGGGCACAGCCAACAGGTGTTGTCTATTTTTGCTATTTAACTATTTAACTGACTGTTAACATTTTCTTCACCCAAGTTGTTCCATTAGTTTACATGTAACGCGATTCGAATGCGTTTTCCTTGCGGCCGCCGAGCGACTCCAACGCGTTTCAAGCTTCAAGCACGCGGTTCCCCTGCGCTTTCAGCTGCTTCCGCTGGCTAATTTTAATTAAATGATTTTTCCTACCTTCCTAGCCTTCCCAGCCCCCATCCGACATTCACATTTCAGTCCACACAAACTTCCAATTTTGGGCATTTGGGCTGTATCTAGTTTTTGGCTTTGTTTGGGGTGGCTGTTGGCATTTTAGCTGCTTTTCGTTTCGTTTCGTTTCGTTTCATTTCGATTCGATTCGTTTACATATTTTATGAGTGGCGCCAAGAGCTTTAGCATATTTTTGATGCGATGCCATGAGTGTGTGGATAATTAAAATATATTCATAATTTAACGCGTCTCGTCGCTTCGCGGTCGCATCTTCGATTTGCATACGATTTGTGGCTGTTTGTGCCAAAGCTGTGCCTTCTGCCTGCGATTGTGCCGCGCGCGCAGCCAATTAACGATCTGAAAAATCACACACAGAACATACAAAAAAAAAAAAAAAAAAAAAACAGTCTGCTAATGAAATTGAGACTATCGAATCGGCGGTTGCTGCTGCCCCTGCCCCAGCCCCAGTCCCAGTCCCAGTCCCAGTCCCAGCAACAGCCCGAGCCCCATTCCGCAGCTAATCCCGCCATTTGACACTTGTTGGCGCCCAGCAGAGCATCCCAGTTGGTGGCGCTTCTTCATCGCCTTTGCCATTGCCATCGCCAGCGCCATCGCCATCGCCATCGCCTTTGGGTTTTGCATTTGTAATTGAAAACGCTGCCGGAAGCGCTGCCTCGACGCCTCTCAACAAATGTGGCGCCACAGAATGCTGGTGCCACAGCCGTCTCTGGCTTATGGCTGCTGATTTTGCAGCTTTTGGCTGCAAAACGTTCTCTTGGCTGCAACGAGATGGCAATTTCGATTGCATTTGCCAGCTGCCCACCCGAATCCGCAACTAGGCCTGAATCCGAGTCCAGTCTCCTGCCTCCTGCCTCCTGTCTCGAGTCTCTGCCTCTATATCTGAGATGTGGATCACTGGCTGGGACCTCCAATCAATTGGGAGTTGTTCGATTGAAGTTAATTAGTTGTTTATCGACCGACAGTACCCCCTTAGCCGCCAAATGGCACATTCATTGTGGGCGTCTGTCATTTGGTTTATGGATTTTCATTATTACATTGTGCGACGAGTACTAGCCTCGCTTTGCATCATCAGTTCCCAGTCTACACTTCCCAGTTCCCAGTTCCCAATCGCCAGTCGCCAGTCGTCAGTCGCCAGTCGGTGATATATAGGCATCGGCTGTTCCGTATATAAGCAATTGCAATTGACTGGCGCCAGAGCAACCTGAAAACCATATACTATGTAGCATTTAGACATTTTATACATATACTCCTTATATGTATAGAGATCCGTACATGGCAATTGAGGAAATTAATTTTCGTCTTTTCTCTTTCAGTCACCGAATGCCAGTTTGGCAAAGTTCTCCGTGAGTTGGGCTCGACCTGGTATGCGGATTTGGGACCACCCTTCGGGGTGATGTACTGCATCAAATGCGAATGTGTGGCGGTAAGTAAGCAATCTCTAGAACTAAGAAAAGGGCAAGTTGAACTATGCATTCCATTGGGTACCGTACCCCGGGAAATGTGCCTTAGAACTGATTGACTAATGACCGTCGACATTCGGTACAAGCCAAACGCCAAAGACTAAATGAAATGACAGGGCGACAGAGACAGAGACAGAGACAGAGGCGGAAGAACAGCAAGCAGCAACTAGCAAAAAGCATACTACGAATGAAAATGATTGCGTTTTCATTTCGGTTTCGGGACGCGCCTAATTTATGGCATTTCCACGCATGATTAATATCGATTTGAAAGCTCTTTCTGGCGATATATTACGAATCAGAGGCAAATATTTTTGTTGCCAAAGCAGCAAAGCAGCAAAGCAGCAAACAGCAAATCGGAAAAACAAATTCTGGCATTCTTCTGGCCTGCCCTGTCCGTTCGATCGAATTACGCAAAAAATACGCAACCGCAGAAGCGATGAATACTAGAATGTTGCACCGCCACACTCGTGTGTCCTCGAATGGGGAGGGATGGGATATGGGTATGGGATAAATAGAAGATATAGGGGCGTCGTCGGGAGACAGCAAAAATTAATTGATGCCATCAGGTCTTCAGGCTGTTTGGCATCGTGTTGTTGTAGTCTGCGAAAGGCCAGACAGGGGCCACATACACCGTATATATGTACATATATATGATGTTCAGAGATATATCTGACTTATATAGAAGTCGGTCGGCTTCCATGGATATCTATGTATGCGACTGTATTCAGGTATATATTTTTTGTCCGTTAATTTTTAATGTGCATTGCATAAAAGTCAGCTTGGAAATTAATTAATGATAATTTATGTTGGCTGCAAGCGTCGCAAATGAGCACATCATAAAATTATTTAAAACATGTTGCTGCTGCTTGAACTTTAAGGCACACACACACACGGCAAGCGGCAAGCGGCAACATCATCAGCAGCAGCAGCAGCAGCAGCAGAGGCAGAAACAGCAGCAACCAATAAAAATTAATAATAAAAAGCCACCGAGAAGAACATCAAAAAGACAAACAGCACCAGCCAAAAAGAGCTACCAGCAAATTCATAAAAATATACAATAATTATTCCAAAAACAAAAAGAAAAGAAAATAAATACACACACACACACACACACACACACACACACACACTTATGGATGGGTTCTATATTTATATAAACTTTATATTAAGCAGCGGCCGACGACTGATTTAGATTAGATTTAGTTGCTGCTGCTAACAAGTGTCATAAATCACTGACAGGTGACAGGTGACAGATGACAGGTGACAGGCCTGGGAATCTGCATTATGACCCAACGAACGAAACCAAACTAACTCCAATTAGTATCTTTCAGTCATTGTTCTGCATTTCAATCTCTGATCTCTGGCTTTCTCCATCCATTCCAGATACCCAAGAAGCGCCGCATCGTTGCACGCGTCCAGTGTCGCAACATTAAGAACGAATGCCCGCCGGCCAAGTGCGACGATCCCATCTCGCTTCCCGGCAAATGCTGCAAGACCTGTCCAGGAGATCGCAATGGTAAGTCCACCAATCTAAAAAAACTGAAAAGTGATGCATCCTGCGCCCTAACTACCACCTATGTACACATACCTACCGATATATATATGCTGATAAATCATCACAAAACGATCCCAACGATCCCTTCTGGGGATGGCACTGGTCTCCGAAACTGATTCATGGCCATAAATTCTGGAATTTGTTTCAATATTTTGACACTTGCAATTGCCCCGTCGGAGATCTGTTTGATCGTATAAATCAGGATTAGACGGAATATTCCCACAGATCTGACATCGCGCTCTCTGTCTGTCGCGATATATACGCAGCATGAATAGATATATTTTGGGAAGGGGAGGGGGGGATCTTTGGGATCTTCATCTATATAGCCATGAATAATTAAGAGTAGCATCCACGGCAGCTGGCTGTGTGGACAGACGGCGACGAGTGGGACACAAACAAGATGCTATGATGCTCATCGGCATCGGTGGTGTCCATCTCAACCCCTCTCAATCTCCACCCTGCCTTTCCGTATCGTTCTTAGTGTCTGATACATGGCCGAGTTGGTGGCCGAAACGCGTAAATTGTTTATGAAAAATTACTTGGCCCGAAATGAAGGTCAACGCTACGCAATTTATATTTCGTTTTTATGTCTCAGTCAGTGTCTGTCCGTAGCTACTCACCGCTCACCGCTCACCTCTCCCCGTGTGTCTCCCATCATTTGGTGGACGTGGATGATTCCTATTCCTTTGGTCCCCACTACTTAGCATAACATTATAGAGAGCATATGTATATGCCGTACCGTCGGGCCATCGAGCCGTCTCCCATCTTCAGCCCTCAGTTCCGCACCGCACCGCACCCACCCTCCCTCTTCGAAGCTTTTTTGCTGGCCAACTTTTGCATTTATTTATTTTGTATTCTCTTTGTTTTATTCGCAATTTATTTTATATCGCCCGAACGAGCGGCGCCTGAAGTTGTTGTTTCTGTATTATCGGAATATACGAATATCTGAATACACAGGCAGAATATGGCAGCAACAATGGGAATAGGAATGGGTTAAGCCCCAGCCAGCTACAGGCAGGGCAGCACCAGAAGAAAGAGTATTTCAAGTATTTTCATTTGAAAAGGGGCCCAACGGGGGCGCACGTGCCGCATTTCGAGAGGCTTTAATAGATCAATTATTGTACTCTCCAAAGAGACAGAGAGCCAAACAAAAGTCTGTGCACTCTTTACATATGTATGTACATATATGTATATGTATATGTATATGTATGTATGTATGTATATGTAGAAGATCCGCTCTCTGAAGTTAAAGCTAATCATTCGCACATTTAGCGGAATATCGCACTCAAGCAGCTGTCAGATCTCCCCTCTACATATATACAAAATATTCCAACATACATACATACATACACACATACATATGTATATGGTACATATGTATATATAATTTATGATTGGGTACTATATGGAGAAGCATAGCCAGGGACTGAATCACTTTTGGCTTTGGCTTTGGCTAATTTTCTGCCTGAATTGAATTCACAATTAGAACAGCTTTTGGCCACAGCACATCTCTCTGCTCGCTGCCCCCCTCTGCTCTACTCTTCTCTTCTCTCTTTCCATCTCGCTCTCTGCTCTCTCAGTCGCTTTGTGACATTTTTCACATAATCAGGCACAAGTGCTGCCTGAATTCCAGTCCCCGTCCCAAAGCTGCTGCCTGTGGTGGTTGCCTGTGTGGCATGGGGCAAACTGGTTGCTTGCCACCGAACGGGAATGGAAGTGGAAGTGGGTAGTAGGAATGGGGAATGCAGATGGTGAGTATGGTTGTATGGTTGTATGGTTGCATGGTTGCATGGTTGTATGGTTGTATGGTTATGGGTATGCCAGGAGGATCGGCTGTGGCATCACATCATTAGTTTCCGTTTTGTGGCAATTTTTCATTTGCTTATGCAAAGAGCCGTTGACCCCATTGGGACCTTCTACTGCTATGATCACCCCTTGCTATATGCCCCCTTACACTCCCCCCCCCCCCCCCCCCCCCCCCCCACCCACCCCCCCCCCCCCCCCCCACACACTCTTACTTCATTTTTTTTGTTTTTTGTTTTTTTTTTTTTTTTTTTCTATCCTTTTCTCATCTCTCCATGCCCGCANTGTTTTGTGGCTTTTCTCTTTTCTTTTTTTTGTCCAAAAGATAGAGCCCGAGTCCGAGAGCAAGGGGATGGGCCACGTCCAAAGGCAGAGGCAGAGGCAGCCCGAACTTGCAACTCGTTTGCCATAAATACTTAGAAGGCACGGGCGCGGCTCCAGCTCTGCCCCAGAGGGGAATCTTTGGCTCTCACGCAGTCAGCCAGTCCAGTCCGCCAGTCTGCCATCCATTGGCCATCCCATACCCAGTGCCAGCTATTGTACAAATATTTCGCAGCGGCAGCAACCACTTGCAGCGATCGTTTCCAAAGTTATTTTGTGCCCAACTTGGCTTTTGCCTACCTTCATAGTTGACTTACAGTCAAGCCTCGCGACTGTTGCAGCCTGGCAAGGGGCACTCGGGAGCGGCCGTTGCTCTTAGTGCGACACCACTGTGGTCCCAGTTGTCAGCAAAGGCAAAGGCCTGGAGCAGGAGCTGAGGCCAGAGCCAGAGCCAGAGCCGGAGCCGGAGCCGGGGCTGCTTGAAGCCTGAAGCTCATGACATGGCCATATAATCAACATCAGCAATTGCCTTCCTTCGTTAAATGTCCATTTTGGGATCGAATCTTTTGGCTCTTCGCCACTGTTGCTGCACTCTCTTCCTCCCTCCTATCACTCTCTCTCTCTCTCTCTCTCTCTGCTTCTGTCTCTGTCTCTCTTTTCCAGGCAATCCAATCCATCTGCTGCTCCATCTACGCTCCGTGGAGCATTAATTTATGCCAGGGCCCTGTTGCTTTTTTTTTCTTGTGCTCATTCGTTCATTTTTATAATGACATAACTCGAGCATTTTAACGCTTATTAAATTATCTCATTTGCCGCCACAAACGGCGGGCGGTCCCAAACAGACACAGAGGGACGCAGTCGAAGCGGTCCGGAGGGGAGGGGGATTGGCGGGGTATATCCCCAGGTAGACAATAAAAGTTAATGTTTTCGATTCCAATCGATTCCAATCGCAGCTGCTGAACCCGAACCGATCGCACCTTGACAATTCAACTTGATGACATCTTTTGTGGTCTTGGTCGGTCGGTGTTCCTCTGCCCTCGCCTTCTTCCCCTCTGCACTCCGTGGTACATTCCCTTCCATGTTGGGATTGGAGGATCGTCGTTCCCAGCAACTTTGTAGCAGGGTATGGAACTGGCATTGGAATTGGAATTGGGACTGGGACTGGGACTCGGACTGGGACTCGGACTGGAATTGGGATGGGCCTGCCCTGCCAGCCACAAAAGGATCGACTGAACCAAATTCATTTTTATGGCCGGGCGTGAGCTGCGCCATCGAGCAATAAAATCTTCAACTTTATCTTTATCTTTATCTTTATCGGTTCTGCATCGGCAACGGAACCGTCTATTATGTTGGGCACGTCTCTCCGCACTCTATCTTCTTCCCACTACCTCTACCTCTACCTTTGCAGAGACCTTCTGTCGGTCTGTTTTTAGTGGAGATTTTTGGTGATGCGATAAGCCACGCAGGAACCGAGCTAACAAGGGAATGGGATGGGGCTTTTATCTATATCAAAAGATCTAACAGTGTGAACGAGAGCTCGATAGATTAGTGTAGATCGGGAATGAGGGAACTCTAGGATTGGGGATTGAACTTAGAAAAGAGTTGGAGGACACCTTCGAGACGATTTCCAGTGCTCTTCTTGGTTCTGAAACGGAACCCCAGCCATAGTTGTTTCTGCTGTATTTAGCTCAAAGCTCCACACACACGCACACACACATACGCACACTCCCCTTCTCCCACCATCTGAAACAATTTCAAACGATTTTTGTTAATGAGCTGCCGCCACCGACGCCGCCTGAGATTCTTTTTGGCGGTCGGTGGGACCAGGAGGGGGGAGCCACCACATACCAAAGCGTTGAGTCAATGCCGAGGTGTCGTTTGTCTTTCAGTCTTGGCTTTGTCGGCTTCGGTTGTCCGATGTCGGCTGTACGCTGTCGGCCGTCGGCCGTCGGCTGTCCGCTTACCCCGCACTCTTTGCCATCGCCTTCGCTTTTGCGTGCCCTTCCCTTCCCTTCCCTTCCCTTCCTTTCCCTTCATTTCCCTTCCCTTGTTTACCTGCGTCTTGGCTTGGATGGCCAACGAAACTCATTTATCTTGGCTTACAGAAGAGAGAAGAGCCCACAAAAACGAAACTAAAATTTTCATTCATCTGCAAGCGCGATTCAAGGGCAGATGCCTTTGTCCGTCCGTCCGTCCACGGCCTGGGGACAGTCATGGCCCGGACCAATAAGCCCCAAGAATGTAGAGCCACAAATTGAAAAAGAAATAAAGAAAAGGCCAAAACCGACACCAAGAAGACCCAAACGCGGCTCCCCAGACCCCATTCCCCAGTCCCCAGTCCCCCAGTCCAGTTCCGTCCAGTCCAGAAGTGGCTAGTATTAAGATCAGGCGATAAGATCGGACAGCAGCCGCCGCCGCCGCCGCCGCCACCGCCACTGCCTCAACAGTAGACAGGGACAGAGGCAGGGCCCAGAGACTGGAAGACAGAGCCCAGAGCCCACAGAGCACAGAGTCAGGGCCTCGTCCGGGGCTCAATAAAATGCTATACAAGGTGTCAGATTTGTCGCCCTTCATTATGCGATGGCGGCGGCAAGAAGTTCCCCGTCTTCTGTTCGAGTATTCTTTTTCACATTTTTTGCGGCTTACGAGCTGAGAGCTTCGTTCGAGCCGAGGTTCGTTGTGCGAGAATGATGTTTGGGGTTTGGGGTTTGGGTTTCGGCTTGGGGTTGGGTCTTCGAGAAGGAGCAGCATAATCGAAATGCCAATGCAGGCAGCATCATCGACAGCAGCTAACGAAGGAGAGAATCGGATCGGATCTGTTCAGTTCAGTTCAGTTCGGCTCGGTTCGAATGGAATGGAATGGCACTGCTCGAATGCTAAATGATGTTGCATAGGAGAGACGGAGAAGGAGAGGTGCTCCTCAAAGGGCATCCCAGGTTCGCTTTAATCAGCTTTTGTCGGAACCCCCGACAGCCGTCTGCCAGGCTTTTGCGGCTGCTGCTGCTGCCACTCCTAACGAACTCAGAGACCTCGTCGACCCGAGTACTGAGTGGCGAGTGCAGAGAGCAGAGAGCCGCTGATGGCGATGGTTTTTGAATGTGATTTATGTGGCCTCAGGCCTCAGGCTTCAGGCTGGTGTCAATCAAGTCCCCTGCTGTGTGTGCCCCGGCACTGGGGTACCAGCATCAGCATCAGCACCAGCACCGGTCCCGGAAATGTGTCCACCTACTTTCACGCCAAGCAACAGCAAATGAGCGTGTCATGTGGATTCCAGGAATCTGGAAGCCAGCAATTCTCCTCTGCTATTCTCTGTCATTCACCACTGGCAATGTACATGCATATAGGGATTCTACCTGCCCTCAATTTATGCACGATTAATGAATGCCACCTGGGTAGAAGAGGCGACGCGAACCGACCCGATCCGATCCGATCCTCTCTACCTGTGATGCCCGCCATTCATTGTGGATCTATGAAGCATCCGCTTTCCAGCCATTCACTCAGCATTCACTCTGCCGGCCCATTCATTCATTCATTCTGGATAGGCAGAGCGAGAGAGAGAGAGAGAGAGCGGGAGAGCAGGAGGATTCTTAGGGGGCGGTGCATTCCTTTGAAGCATTTGTTTCCATCTAAATTCCATTTAAGGTCGTGTCGTTGCTTATCTGACAGAATCTCTCATTCTTATTTTCTCTTCTCTTCCATTTGCAGATACGGATGTGGCCTTGGATGTGCCAGTGCCCAACGAGGAGGAGGAGCGCAACATGAAACGTAAGTAGAGATTAACACAAATACAAATACAAATACAAATCTCTGAACCTCTGATCCTGTGAGCCTTTGAACCTACCTTCCACCCACATCATGATCATCTCCAATGCTAATTTGTGCATCTCCAATCCATCTCCCTCGATCACTTTCAGATTACGCTGCGCTGCTGACGGGCCGCACATCTTATTTCCTCAAGGGTGAGGAAATGAAGTCCATGTATACCACCTACAATCCGCACAACATTGTGGCCACCGCCCGTTTCCTGTTCCACAAGAAGAACCTCTACTACTCCTTCTACACATCGTCGCGCATCGGACGCCCGCGGGCTATTCAGTTCGTCGACGATGCCGGCGTCATACTCGAGGAGCATCAGCTGGAGACGACCCTCACGGGCACCCTCAGCGTCTACCAGAATGCCACGGGGAAGATCTGCGGCGTGTGGCGCCGCGTGCCCAGGGACTACAAGCGCATACTGCGCGACGACCGCCTGCATGTGGTCCTGCTGTGGGGCAACAAGCACCAGTCGGAACTGGCCCTGGCCGGCAAGATAGCCAAGTACACGGCCCTGCAGACGGAGCTGTTCAGCTCGCTGCTGGAGCCGCCCCAGAGCCTGCCCGGCGGCAAGGTCGATCCCATGCTGGCCGGAGCTGGTGGCACGGCCATTGTGTCGACCAGCAGCGGAGCGGCCTCCTCCATGCACCTGACGCTGGTCTTCAACGGCATCTTCGGGTCGGAGGAGTTCGCGGACGCCGCTCTCAGCGTGAAGATCGAGCTGCCGGAGCGCAAGGAGCTGATATTCGACGAGGTGCCGCGCGTGCGTAAGCCCTCGGCCGAGATCAATGTGCTGGAGCTCTCCTCGCCCATCTCCATCCAGAATCTCCGCCTGATGTCCCGCGGCAAGCTGCTGCTCACAATCGAATCCAAGAAGTATCCACAGCTGCGCATCCAGGGCCACATTGTGACGCGGGCCAGCTGCGAGATCTTCCAGACATTGCTGGCGCCACACAACGCCGAGTCTGCGACCCGGAGCAGCGGCCTGGCCTGGGTCTACCTCAACACGGACGGATCGCTGGCCTACAACATCGAGACGGACCACGTGAACACCCGCGACCGCCCCAACATCAGCCTCGTGGAGGAGCAGGGCAAGCGCAAGGCCAAGCTGGAGGATCTCACGCCCAGTTTCAACTTCAACCAAGCCATCGGCAGCGTGGAGAAGCTTGGGCCCAAGGTGCTCGAGTCCCTGTACGTCGGGGAGCTTGGGGTTAACGTGGGCACCGAGCATGAGGCCAGCCTTATCCGGGGCCGCCTGGTGCCGCGCCCAGTGGCCGATGCTCGCGACTCCGCCGAGCCCATTCTGCTGAAGCGACAGGAGCACTCGGGCGTGGCAGCCGGCAACAATCAGTCTAGCCATGCCATGGGCATGGCCTGGATGTCCATCGACAACGAGTGCAATCTCCACTACGAGTTGACGCTGAGCGGAGTGCCGCCGCAGGACCTGCAGCTGTATCTGGAGGAGAAGCCGATCGAGGCCATCGGCGCACCGGTGACCCGGAAGCTGCTCGAGGAGTTCAACGGCTCCTACCTCGAGGGCTTCTTCCTGAGCATGCCCTCCGCGGAGCTGATCAAGCTGGAGATGAGCGTCTGCTACCTGGAGCTGCACTCCAAGCACTCCAAGCAGCTCCTGCTGCGCGGCAAGCTGAAGAGCACCAAGGTGCCCGCCCACTGCTTCCCCGTCTACACCGACAACAATGTGCCCGTGCCCGGCGACCACAACGACAACCACCTGATCAATGCGGAGACCAAGTGCTTCCACTCTGGCCGCTTCTACAACGAGTCCGAGCAGTGGCGCAGCGCCCAGGACGCCTGCCAGATGTGCGCCTGCCTGCGGGGACAGTCCAACTGCGAGGTGATCAAGTGCCCGGCCCTCAAGTGCCGCCTCTCGGAGCAGCTGCTGCAGCGCGAGGGCGAATGCTGTCCAAGCTGCGTGCCCAAGCGGGAGACGACCGCCGCCTCGGACTGGACACAGACCCAGGGGTCATCCTCATCCGCCTCCGCCTCTGTCTCTGCCTCATCCTCGCCTGCAGTCAATGGCAGCGATGTGCTGCTGCAGCTTCAGCAACAGCGACGCGGCTGCCGGCTAGGTGACCAGTTCCATGCTGCCGGCGCCAGCTGGCATCCCTTCCTGCCGCCCAATGGCTTCGACACCTGCACCACCTGCAGCTGCGACCCCCTGACTCTGGAGATCCGCTGCCCGCGGCTCGTCTGCCCACCGCTGCAGTGCAGCGAGAAGCTGGCCTACCGCCCGGACAAGAAGGCCTGCTGCAAGGTCTGTCCCGAGGGCAAGCAGAGCAGCCCGGCCGGTGGCAAGGTCGCCCCAAACAATCCCAATGTGCTGCAGGATCAGGCCATGCAGCGCTCCCCGCAGCACAGTGCTGAGGATGTCCTGGCTGCCGGTGGCTGCAAGGTGGTCAACAAGGTCTACGAGAACGGTCAGGAGTGGCATCCCATACTGATGTCGCATGGCGAGCAGAAGTGCATCAAGTGCCGCTGCAAGGTAAGTGTCAATCGTAGGATATGTATATATCTACATATTTACATTTTGATGTACATAAATGTATGTACACATACATAACATTGGGCAAATGGCTAATCCGTGAATATCCTCTTTTTTCTGATTCATTTAGGACTCCAAAGTGAACTGCGATCGGAAGCGCTGCTCGCGATCCACCTGCCAGCAGCAGACGCGGGTCTCCAGCAAGCGACGCCTCTTCGAGAAGCCCGACTCCGCCCCGGCGCTGGACGAGTGCTGTTCGACGCAGTGCCGTCGCTCGAGGCGTCACCACAAGCGCCAGCCGCACCACCAGCAGCGCTCCAATGCCGCCGGCTCCAGCAGTTGAGCGCGGATCCGTTGAGACCAGCGGGAAAGAAGCCGGAAAACGAAGGATTCTTGGGCTACACACACACTTAGTGCGGTGTGTGCCGAGCCAGAGGCACCTACCAACAAACACACACACACACACACACATCACATATACCCCGATAAACACAAACATACACACACACACACACATACATACACACACACACACACACACACTTATGCGGGGTTGCATAGATCGTTGTTGTTTTGTGGCAACAATGGAAACTTGTATTATATAAACGAATGGGAGAGCGCAGAAATCCGAAAATCAGAAAGGAGCGAGATCAACCAGAAAGCTCCTCCAGAGATTAGCAGCGAGGGGGAACGAGAGAGTCCTCCCAAGAGAGAATCTTGCAAGAGAGCTTGCCAGAGAGACGAGAGATGGAGAGACAGGGGGAAAGATAAACCAGTGCAGTTTTGCTTTAAAATTCGCCAGAGCAGAATTTTTCATTGAAAAGCATTTTCCGAATTTCTTTTACCAATCCAACCCAACCCAACAGACCCACCTTTCCCACGCCTCATCGCCTAAAAAAAAAAGAAAAAACAAAACAAAAAATTATTAAAATTCAATTTTAAATATAATTTATTACCAAACGATTCAAGAAAAAGAGTTCGCTTGAAAATGAAACTGTACTGAGTTTAAAAACAAAAATTTAATTTTTCGAATGGAGAACCATGAGGAAAAAGGATTGCAGCAGGAAAAAAGCTGAATATTATATTCAATGTTTCAATTGATTTAAATGCAAATTTAAATTGCAATTCGAAATGCAGAAAGAGTAAAAAATACATCAGTTTGTGGGAATATTTAATGAAAGCTAATTATTCTGATTATACATACATACATATATACAATATTTTTTTTATATATACAATAAATATATACATACATATATATATATATATATATACATATATATATCGAAAAATATATACATATATTTATAACTTATGAGAAACAAAACACAGTGGGAAACGCATTTGGCGAATTATTTTATAGCAACCCAAAAGTTTCAACTGATTGACTGAATGGCAAAAAATAAAACTAGTTTATAGGAATGTTTTTTTTATTATTTTACGAAGAAAAAAAAGTGAAATAACGAACATTATTTTTTACTAATTGTTACTCACACCAACAAACACATAAATACATTTAGATATTTATACACATACATTTTACGGAAATTCTTTCTATTTTTAAATTGTTACAACAAAGCAAACGATAACAAAAAATCGAAAATTATTCTAAAAAATGCCATGTACACATATTTATACACACACATAAAAATACACTTGAAGAAAATAACAAACAAACCGCAAACCGCAAACCGCAAACCGCAGAAAAAGAAATTGTATTAATTTTTATTTTATTCTATTAAATTATTCTTAATATTATTATTTTATTTTATGTTTATTATTATTATTACTATGATCTTTTTTTTGTAGTTTGTATTGACATGTACTCATAAATACAAATATTTTACAGATAATAATAATTGATTGATTAATTGTAATTAATTAATTGCCAGCAAAAAAAATATTTAAATCGAAAAATCTTTACTAATAACCTACATTTAGTGTTAACAACAAATTAAGCAAAAATTTCAAATCAACAACAACAACAAAACACACACACACACACACACACACACACACACACACACAGAGAATAAAACAAACAACAAATTTATAAAATTACTTTTTTTATTATTAACAGCAATGGGAATCCAGATTCGTGGGTATTAGTGATCTCAGGAAGCCAGAGATCTTCCTCGACTCAGTTTTAAACGAGCAATTTACCGGCTAAATTTACAGGCAGACACACTGACGGACGGATGGATTCGTTGCCGTTGGTATAGAGCAATTATCTCTCAGTGTTTATAGCCGACACAAACCACATCAAATTATCCAAATGGCTTTTATGGCCCAGAATATGATGATTGCCTTGTTTCGATGCCTTATTTCGGTGGGTCCGACCATTTCATTAGGCTAAGCCGCAGGCGATCTTCGCCGATCTCTCGCTGCCACAATGGCTGCCTGTTTGGAGACGGCTGCTGATTGTGGAATAAATGTAAGCCACAGGCTATCTGTTCATATGATCGGTATACAGAGTGTAAAGGCATACATATATTTAGTAGAGTACCCAATCATACGGATTATTTGATAACTTTGCATTGGCTTGACTTTGGGGGAGTTCACATAGATTGGGAGTAGGTCGGTAGTCAGTTTTTGGTAGGTTTAGAAGCCTATTCAAATACCATAGGGGCTGCTCGATTGTTGTCGCTTCTATACTCGTACTCACACTCACACTCATACTCGTATTCGTATTCGTATTCGTATTCGAATGAAAGCGAATAATTAAATATTGGCATAGTCACACCTTGTTGACAATTATTGACAGGCTGATTGGCAAACAAATGAATACTTTGCCGTTGCCGTTGCCATTGCCGTTTGGAGCTGTCTGTCGTTAGAGGGGCGCGGCCCTGTGGGCGCGTCCATTCTGCGGCACGACAGTTCTCCAGGTGACTGTATAAGAGTGGGCCTGTGTGTGTGTGTGTGTGTGTGTGTGTGTGGGTGGAAGGTGGTTGAAAGGTGGGTGGGTGTGGCAGCTACCGAAAGCGTGCGCCACAGAGACATACAGCCTCAGCGGAGAAGAGATCCCAATCTCACATCATCCATCATCGGATACCCATCTACCTAGGGTATTCAAGCACTCGGCGGCAACTAGCGTTGGCGTGGCGTCGACAGTATCTCCGTGGCTATCGCATACCATCAGACGTCAGATATCAGCCATCATCTTATAGTCTATTGAGTCAGAGTCTATTGCCATTTGCATTCGGATTCGAATTCGCATTCTCATTCTCATTTGCAGTGAGTGCCATCAATTAATTGAGTTGGCCAAACCTTTGGCAAGGGGGCACCAGCACTGGCACCGGCACTGGCACTGGCACTGGCACCCACATTCAACTCTAAGCCCGACATAAGCCCCCACTGCCAACTACCAACTGGGGCTATCAGCCAGATGATATCTTTAGTGGCTTTTTTATGTGTCACACCGAACACGCTCACGACATTTAAGCGTAGATGGAGATGCAGACAGAGCCGCAGTCTCAGTCTCAGTCTCAGTCTCAGTCACAGCTCCAGTCAGGCAGCCACACTCATAATCATCAATTATCCGGAGCTTGCTGTGCCTCCTGAGTCTGAGTCTGCGTCTAGCTCTGGGTCTAGGTCTGAGTCTGAGTCTGAGTCTGAGTCTAAGTCCAAGTCCAAGTCTAGCTCTGGGTCTGGGTCTCACTCTCTGGTAATTGCAGCAAATATGCAAAGCATGTGTAAACTTTATTGATATACAATGTGAATAAACGTTTGCCTAACTTTGTTGTGATTGCAGCTGTCACTGCACGGCACTCACCGACATCAATTCCACTTTGAGTGCCAGACACGCGACTACGTGATACACTCTCAAAGCACTACCCAGCAGCAGCAGCAGCAGCAGCAGCAGCAGCAGCAGCAGCATTGATCCTAGCTTTCGCTCGATCACGAAATACCCAATATCCAATACCCAATCGAGTTACAGGTTCAAGGATAGAACACGCAAAGCGCTACTTCTGGATCCAATCGGACTTGTATCTTATGTAGATCAATACTTCTCCACCGTTTGACAGGGTCTGAGCTTCAGTACGAGCCGATCACTTGGCTGTCAGCAAAGGAGAAATGTAGCAGATACTTGTACGAGCACGAGTACGTACACAATAATTGTAATTCGTGCCAGGTTGGGCGATGATTTCATCTTTCAACACTCGAATCGATTTACAGCTTGATCTATTTACCTTTATCACGCAAAGAAAAGTTGTGGGAACCAATTGTAAGTGAGATTTTCTTAGAGCAGATCTTGCTCTATAGCTTATACAATATATAGAGCCATCCCACAGTCTCTCTGATATCTTCCAGAGTGAATTTCACAGCTATGAGTTAAAAATCTACACAGTGAAGATCAACAGTCCTTTCCTGGCTATCTGTGTCACTGCCGATATGCATTTTCTTCACTTTGCATTTGCGTCACCTTCCAGTGCACCCACTCACTTCGGGCTCTTCGCTGATTGTTAACTGATTGCATACAAATATACCTGAGAAGGGGTCAAATCATGTTGACACTCGTGTCGCCGGCTAATTGCCACAACATGCTCTCCACAACACACTCAACGGAGCAGAGCTGGATCGCCATTCGCCATTCGCCATTCGCCATTCGCCAATTGTTGATGATCAGCGCACAGAGGGAGGACACGACTACGGATAAGGATAAGGACACGGCTATTCTGAGCAGTTAAGGATCACTTATGACTTTCAAATGAATTAGACTCAAATCATAGAATGAATAAATCACTTTCACTACAACCGAAATTGCATTGTCAAATTTGTAATGTAACTTTAAAAGAGTTCTCCTAAAACATCGTTTTTTACTTTATATATTTCATATTTTCTATCATGCATTTTCATACAAATTTTAAAAGTATAACTCTTGAGAAAACTTTGATTTCGCCACAATCAATCCAGAGCCCAGTGACTACTCTCATTGTATTAATCGTTGATTGTGGAACCAAACCACTTAGCATCCCACCCCACAGATTTCTACGTAAAATTAACACAAAAACCCAAATTCTCGATATTCCACCGCTCCAATTTTGTTGTTTTTGTTTTGAGTATTGGTCCACGCGATCTGACATAATAATACTTGAACTGTACTCTTAATGCAGGAAAAAAACCAACAAACAAAAAATTGGGTAAAAAACCAGACTAAATTTCTGTTTTATGAATCGAAAGCGAATATGGTGCGTTGAAGCTGGAGCTGGTGCTGGAGCTGGAGCTGGAGCTGGAACACGGCGGAGAGGGGCATGTCCAACCTGGACATGGGCATGGACGGGGGGACCTGGATCTGAACCTAACCATACTCGTGGCGTAGACAAATTTGTAACTAATTATAAATGCAGGCGGCACAGCCAAAAAGTGGATACGGTCCGGTCCGTTCCAGTTCCAGTTCCAACTTTACTTCGTTGATGACTGAGGAAGGAGGATGGCGGGGCAAAGGTGGGCGGACAGTTTCAAATGCCGAGCGAAGCGGACTAAAGTGAACCGAACTGAACCGAACCGGCATGGAGTGGTCATGAATGAAATCTTAGCACGCTGGATTTCGAATACTGGATACTGGATACTGGATAGTGGATGAACGTCTGGTTGGTTTGTGGGACAGATGGTTGTATGGATGGATGGGTGAGTGGGCGTCTGTATCTTCAGCTTTAGCTTTGGGCGTTGGCGTTGGCGTTGGCGTTGACGGCAAAGTGTGAAACTAATTTGTCAGCATGACAATAGCAGCCAAAAGCCATAAACATCATAATAATATTCAATAAACATCAGCCAAATGCGCAAATTAACATTAACCGCCACCGATTTGGCCATGGAACGCAGCAGTCAGGGAAAGGCATGGAATGACATGAAATGCAATCAAAGACTAAAAACCATAGAACCGGAGGGGTTCGGCAGCGATGACGAATGGAATTTGTATAACATACATTAATTTCATTAATTGGAAATTAAATGATACAAATAATGACAGATAGGGCTATTAAGCGCACGAGGGAATTCTGAATGA